TTCTCTCTCTCTCTCTCAAATAAAAAAAAAACAAAAAACCAAAAAAACAGCTAGTAATCATTTCTTGCCAGACACTGTGTTCAGTTCCCTATGGAACAGTAACCTGAGGCTCAGATAGGTAAGGAGCTTGTCAGGGGTCACTCAGTGGTGAAGTGGAGAGTCAGAATGTAAACCAGACAGTGTCTGTGGGCCAGGGCCTGTGCACACTGTCTCCAGGGGCCTGTCCTCACTCTGCCTCCCGGAGGCCTGCCTGGGTCGTCCAACATTAGATGGTTAATGTGTCAGAAGTTCAATGTAAGATTCCAAATGTGAAATTTAACATCATTTTCCATCTTTAAAAATGATATAATATGCACACATAACTGATGGTTTAAATGGAAGGATATTTCCTTAGTCTTCAGTAAGATAACTTCTCTTCAAGTGATGGAAACGGGCATTGTGTTTGTTACATGCTATTCTGACCAACTTACGGTCCCTGCATGCTCAGCTGCCCCCACCCTGAAGTAGGCAGAAAGACAGGCAGCAAGATGCTGGTATGAGGACCACCACCTGTCCTGCTCCAGCGACCCTCAGGGCAGGGCCAGCGGAGGCAGAGTGCAGTCTGGGGGCTGCTGTTGTGTGCGCAGACCAAAGTCTCCTTTAGTCCTCCTCAGCCCCGTGAGGAGTGGCTGTCGGTGAAGCTCAGAGCGGAATGGCTGGCTGTGTGGGGGTCTGAGCCTGCCTGTCTGCATGCCGAGCTGTGCTCCCCACTACAGTGCTCAGTCAGCACCACCTGCCAGCGTGCAGTTGCAGTCCCTTCTGAGTACAGGTCAGTTCAGAAGGGGGGACTCTGCCAGAACTCATTATGGTGGTAGGTCCATGTGAAGGGGCTTATGACCATCTCAACAGGTGCTGAAAAGGTAGGTGTTTGATAAAAATCAAAATATGCAAAACAAGTGAACAAAAACTACTAAACTAGGAGCAGAAGGATATTTCTTTAGGAATATTTTGCTTACACAAGGAATGTAGCTCAGACCCATATTCACATGCCACAGATGGCAAGTAAGAGTTCTGTCCTGTTTACAGTCTGATAAACACTTTGAGAACATCGTTATGCCTTGACGGTGGTTGGTTCTTCATACTGCCTGCCCTTTTCACCGTGTCCTGAGTGCCGTCATCCTTCACAGCAACGTGTGTACCAGCATTTCATTAGCAGCCTCTCCTGATCAACATTTTGGTTGTTTGTCAATTTTTGTATTTTTTATTTTAAAAGATTTTATTTATTTGACAGAGAGAGAGAGAGATCACAAGTAGGCAGACAGGCAGAGGGAGAGGGAGAAGGAGGCTCCCCGCTGAGCAGGGAGCCGGATGCGGGGCTTGATCCCAGGATGCTGGGATCATGACCTGAGCCGAAGGCAGACGCTTAACAGACTGAGCCACCCAGGCGCCACAGTGCCTTGGTATACTTTTGTGGACAAGTCCTTGAATGTCAAATTATTGGGTAAAGGTTTTATGTATTTGTTAGTTTGATACTTCTTGCACTCTGGATAGGCTGGACTGGTTTATACTCTAGTTAGCAGTAATGAGACTGCTAGTGTTGTCATCCTTGTGAGCATTAAAGTAACAAAAATTGGATTTTTGTCCTGTAATAGGTGAGAACAACAGTGTCACCTAGCAGTTCGCACCTTTTATGTGTTAGTGGTTTGTGTCTTTTTTTTTTTTTGAATATTTATTTATTTTAGTGGGGGAGGGGCAGAGGGAGAGAGAGAATCTCTGGCAGACTCCCCACCGAGCTTTGGAGCCTGACGCAGGGCTGGGTCTCACGACTCTGAGATCACAATCTGAGCTGAAACCACAAGTTGGACACTCGACCAACTGAGCCACCCAGACGCCCCATGTTTGTGTGTCTTTGTCAGTCTTTGCTCATTTTTCTGTTGGCTGTCTTTTTGCTACGTAGGTGCTATATACCTCCTCCAAATGTGAAATTTAACATCATTTTCTATCTTTAAAAATGATATAATATACATACATAACTGATGGTTTAAATGGAAGGATATGGTTTAAATGATGGTTTAAATGATGGAAGGATATTTCCTTAGTCTTCAGTAAGATAACTTCTTACTGAAGGGAAGTAAAAGGGAAAAGTAAAAGTAAAAGGGAAACTACTCCCTTTTCATCTTTATTACAAATATTTTTTCCCTGTTTGACATATCTTTTAACTACTTCTCTGGCATATTTTTCATTGCACATCAGTTTTAAATATTTATAGTCAAAATTTTCTATCTTTGCTGTTACTTCTTTGGGATTTATGTTATATTTCAAAAGGACCTCCCCATTTGAGGAGTATAAATAGGTTCAGTGTTTTCTTCTTATAGAAAAAGTATAAGATAGTATAAAAAGTATTTTAAATGTGTTTTTTTAATATTTAAATCTGCTCCGTTTGAAATGTGTTGGATGAGGGCGAGAGGTGGGAACTTGCCCGTTGGAGAGCGGGTTGGTCCTCACACTGCTCATTCCCTCAGCAGTTGCGGCCTTGCCTTGTGTGGCTCCTTGAACATCTGCAAACCCACCTGTACTTGGATGGATTTCTGGGCTGTATTCGGTGTCATCTGCCTGTCTTCTGCTTTTCAGTTCTCAGTGGATCTAATTACTGTGGCTTCACAGTCTGTGTTAGTATCTGGACCAGCCAGTCTATCCATTGCCCTGCACCCCGACTCTTTTCCAGCTGTTTTTGCTCATTTATACTTCCTGTCGCAACCCAGTATCATTTTGAGATGTTTCCCTTTCCCCACCTTGTCTCCTTGCCCCGTCGCGATTGCACTGATTTCGTGGAATAAGCATAGGATTGGCTATTTCTCTGTAAGAGAAAGTCATTTTGAAAAGGCAACCGGGGGGCACCTGGGTGGCTCATTCGGTTAAGTGTCCAACTCCTGCTTTCAGCTCAGGTCATGATCTCGGGGTGGTGAGATGGAGCCCCGCGTCGGGCTCCACACTCAGTGCAGAGTCAGCTGGAGATTCTCTCTCTTTCTCCCCACCTCCCTCCACCCTCTCTGCCTCCCCCCTTGCTCACACGCGCATGCTCTCTCTCTCTCTCAAATAAAATCTTTACAAAATAGCAACAGGGAACAGTGTCTACCGTCACCCTCCATCTCCTTCAAGGCCCTTTGGGAAATTCTAGTTGACATAAAAAAGAAGTAAGAGATACAAATACTGAAAAAGAGGAAAAATGTTATTTGCAGGTCTTGGTAATGCTTTGGAAAACAGAGCATCAACTGAAAAAATTATTTATTAAAATATTCTAAAATTATTAAAATAATGATTCAGAAAATTGTCAGTAAAATACAAATAGAAAAATCAATAGTTATCCTAATATGACTAGTTATAAAAATAGTGGGAAAAGATAGTATTTATAACAATAAAATGATAAAATATCTAAGAATTAAATTAAAATGGCAATAGAAATGTTTTAGAATCGGGGAGCCTGGGTGGCTTAGTCAGTTAAGCGTTTGCCTTGGGCTCAGGTCATGATCTCAGGGTCCTGGGATCGAGCCCCACATCGGGCTCCCTGCTCAGTGGGGACTGTGCTTCTGTCTCTCTCTCTGCTTGTTGCTTCCTCTGTTTGTGCTCTCTCTCTCTGACAAATAAATAAATAAAATCCTAAATAAAAAAAAAAGAAATTACTTAGAATTTAGATGGATCCTACATATTTTCCTTTGTTGAGAAATGCACAAGGAGGTATGAATAACTGGAAGCAGCTTGTTATCCCTAAATAATTATAAATCTAAGGTCGTTGTAATTCAGCAGGGCTTTATTTAACTAGAACATTTCCTGGGCACCTGGTGGCTCGGTTGAGCGTCTGACTCTTGGTCTCAGCTCAAGTCATGATCTCAGGGTCATGAATTCGAGCCCTGTTTGGGGTCCACGCTGGGCATGAAGCCTACTTAAAAAAATAATAATAACTTGAGGGAGGCCTGGGTGGCTCAGTTGGTTGAGCATCTTCCTTCGGCTCAGGTCATGCTCCCAGGGTCCTGGTATCGAGTCCTGCATCGGGCTCCCTGCTTAGCCGGGAGTTTGCTTCTCCCTCTCCCTCTGCTGCTCCCCCTGCTTGTGCGTGCTCGCCCTCACTCTCTCCCTCCTTCCTTCCCTCCCTCCCTCTCTCTGACAGTTGAATAAACAAAATCTTTAAAAAATAATAACAACTTGAACATTTCAAGTCTGTCGAGAAGAGTGAGTGCAGGAGGACTGCCAGGAAAGCCTCATAAGAGCAGGGTCGTGAGGAGGGACTTGCTCTGGTAGAAGTTTTAAGATGATGCCAAGTCACAGTTATGAGAGGCATGTGCTGGACCCGTGACTAGGTGCGGAACTGGTGTGTGAGGGTTTGCACAGGGAGGGTACTTGGTGCAGCCTTTCTGGGTGGCAGTATTTGAACGCTGCTTGTCACTTTTCAACATCATTTCTGTACTTTTCTTTCTCAGTCCAGTCAGCCTGCGGCTAGAACGAGACTATCTAGTACACTTGACCCGGAGCTCATGCTGAACCCAGAAGCCTTGCCCCGGGCCAGTGCTGTGGCCCTGACAAAGGAGTATTCCTTCCTGCGCACCAGTGTCCCTCGAGGCCCAAAGGTGGGCAGCTTAGGGCTCCTGACACATCCTAAGGGGAAAAAAAGTTCCAAATCAAGCAAAATTCGGTCTCTGGCTGATTACAAAACTGAAGACGAAGGTTCTGGGAGTTCTGGTGGAAACGTTCCGGCTGTAGACTCTGCCAGGGGCTCTCTGAAGCAGAACCGCAGCAGTGTGGCGTCCGTGGTGTCTGAGGTTAGCCTGTGTCCTGAGGCCGATGATCACCTGGAGAATGCATCCCTGACGGGTGACAACACGTCTGAGGCCGATGGGAATGAGAGCGACAGCTCCTCCCACAGCAGCATGTCTACCCGCGGGACATGTGGGCTTCTGGTGAACACCGTGGGCACTCGAGAAGCCTCCTATGTGGTCAACGGCCAAGAGATTGCCGCTGGTGCGCTGGGCCAGTTCCCCTCCATCACGGATGTCCTCCAGGCCGCAGCAGCTGAGCACCAAGACCAGGGGCAGGAGGTCAATGGGGAGATGCGGAGTCGGACAGACAGCATCTGCAGCAGGTGGGTGCCGTCTGCAGACCGCCCCTCCACTACCGGAGCTGACAGCGCTGTTTTGCTCTCCTAATTATGTGTTTAGTCTTTAACACTTCATTTATACACAACTCTGTTGCCATGTAAGAAATGGAATAGATCAGTAACCATTTCCATTATTAAGATCCGCTGTTTTCCAGTATTTGTGCAGATGTGTCTCTAGGACTGCATGGGTGCTTCCCCGGGCTGACGTTTGACTGAAGATGTTCCAGCTCCGTGGGGGTGTGTTTATTGGTAGCATTTGTAAGAGCATTGATGCTTGATTTAAATCTTTTAACTTATTTAAAAAAACCGTGGGGGAGAGGAGCAGCGGTGTGAGGAGCCTGGAGACGCGGGGCAGGTGAGGAGGAGCGGTGCTGCGTCCTGCGACATCAGGTGCCTGATGCTCCGTGCCCTTGTTCCCCAGTGTGTCCCTGGAAAGCTCTGCTGCCGAGACCCATGACGCCATGCTGCAGGCCCTTAAAGACAAGATGAGGCTTGAAGGGCAGCTGGAGGCGCTGTCTGCAGAGGCCAGTCAGGTAATGGACGCGCTCGGGCGGGCGAGTGTGCCGCGGCTTTGAAGGGTGTGCGACGCCTGCTGGTTGGGTGCGGTTGTGCACATGTCTCCAAGTGGAGCCCGGGCTTCTGTGTCCTCTCCCTTGGCTCCCTGAGCCTCAGGAAGAAGTGCGCTCGTTTCCCGTCTGACTGCGTGCCTCAGTTTTCCCCGTATCCCTGTCCTGGCTCTGCTGATAGATACCTAACCGTCCTTTTGGTGGATTTCACTTTCCTGGCATGGTAAAATTGTTGTCTCTGTCCCTTTAATTCTCTTTGCTGTGGCTTTTGCTTTTCCTGATGTGAATTTTGCTGTATCTGTTTATTTCCATCCCTTAATTTTCAGTTTTCCTGTTGACAGTCAGGGCAAATCTGTTCAGTGGAAGCCAGCTCTGGGTTTGGTGTGGAGAGCAGGGATGCACACGGGTACAGAGGTGGTGTTGAGGCTGCGCAGGTGTTCGAGTACCGGGCACGGGGGTGCGGCTCTGCCAGACGTGCCCCTCGTGCCTGATGTGGTTTTTTGCATGACGTGGTCCTGGGACACAGACCGACCCTCTGTGTACATAGACCTGTGTTGACTGAGGAGGTGGTTGCTGGGAATGAAGGTGAATTTTGGTGGCACATGACTTTCACTGTCTGTCCCTCGTCCAGTGCATTTTTGCTTCATCTGCACATTCAACCCCATGAATGATGTCGGAACCTTTGTTTGCTTTTATTTTACTGTACCTTCTTTTCCTCCTGGGATACTGACTGGCTCTTCAGTTGTGTGAATTGTGACGGATGTGATCCTTTCTGGCTTTGCTGTAAAAATCCAAGTTCTACTTACTGCAAAATCTCATTGCATTTGCTCAGTTAACTCGATTTTTTTGGGTATTTGTTCTTCTGTTTGTTGAATTTGATATTTGTCTTCCTGATGTTGGTTTTCTTCTCGTGTGTTGATGTGCATTTGTCTGCCCGTCTTTGCACTTTGGAATTCCTGTCCACACCCCCGATAGACTCATTTTTGGGTAGGCGGGAGATGCTGATGGCAGATGGAGCCTGTGCCCTTCCCCTGTCGTCTCTTGGATGTTCTCTGCTGCCCTGGGGCCTGGGGCTTGTCAAGGCCCCACCTTCCCTCTCACCTCCTGTATTATCCTACAGATAGCGTCCCTGTGGTGCCTTGTGTGCGCTGTGCCCCATGGCCCGACCAGAGCCCCTCAGAGCCCTTCTTGTGTAGTAGGAGGCGGTCTCTCCCTGCAGGCATGTTCCCGGATCTGAGTCTGACGGCGCTTGGTGGTGTGGGGTTCCCTCGGCACTCCTGGTAGTCTGTGTGTGTACGCGTGCACCCTGGTGCACTTGTTTCTTGAACAAATGTGTTTTCCGACATCCTTGTGGGTGAGCAGTGCTTGCACAGCTCGGGTATTACTGCGCAGAGAGTAAGCAGATTCTGTGGTCACCCCTCTTGCCCCTTTGGCCTGTTTGGAGAACCTGCCTTCTTTTGGGAGAGCCATCCTTTTTAGAACAGCTGGAAGCTTGGGAAACATGGTGCTTTCCCCTCTGTGTCTCACTCGTTCATTTTGGTGGCCCTCGTAATGCACAGGGTGGAAGTGGCTCATTTTCTGACAGTTTCTGATGGGGGGTCTTCCCAGGCACTTAAAGAGAAGGCAGAGCTGCAGGCGCAGCTCGCCGCTCTGAGCACAAGGCTGCAGGCACAGGTGGACCAGAGCCACAGCAGCCAGCAGAAGCAGGACTCCCTCAGTTCGGAGGTGGACACCTTGAAGCAGTCTTGCTGGGACCTGGAGCGAGCGATGACTGACCTGCAGAGCATGCTGGAAGCCAAGAACGCCAGCCTGGCGTCATCCAACAGTGACCTGCAGGTGGCAGAGGAGCAGTACCAAAGACTCGTGGCCAAAGTGGAAGAGATGCAGAGAAACATCCTCAGTAAGGACAACACAGGTGAGCGCTCCCCAGCCAGGGGGCGGTTTATCTTGTCTGCTCTGGGGACTGACCTGTTACATTAATATGCTGGGAGGCGTTGTATTCCCTGCTAATTTATGTACATGCTGTCCACTTCTCTAAAGTAAGTATTGTTTTTGGTTGAGTGCATGGAATTCTGTACATTTTTGCACATGCAGCAAAGGGGAGTGGCTTAGGTCTTAGAAATGGACTTTGGACCCTTGGTAGTTGGTGGTAATGTTTCCACTTATTCTGCCTTCAAAGCCTGCTTATTCCTCAGAATTGCAGGATCTATTTTAAAATATTTATTATTTGGGTGCCTGGGTGGCTCAGTCGGTTGAGAGGCTGCCTTCGGCTCAGGTCATGGTCCCAGGGTTCTGGGATTGAACCCCAATCTGCTTCTCCCTCTGCCTCTGCCTGTCTCTCATGAATGGATGAATAAAATCTTTTAAAAAATTAAAAAATATATTATTTATTTATTTTTTTAAAGATTTATTTATTTATTTGAGAGAGAGAGAGCACTAGCAGGAGGAGAAGCAGACTCCCCACTGAGCAGGGAGCCCGATGTGGGGCCGATCCCAAGGACCCTGAGATCATGACTTGAGCCAAAGGCAGACGCTTAATCGACTGAGCCACCCAAGCGCCCTCTATTTAAAATATTTAAAAGTAACACTGCCGTTGTGGATTAGTAAACCTTTATTTTTCCTGCCTTAAGTTCAGTTTTTGCTGTAGCTGGATCCCTGGGGGCATCACCTATGGAATGAGAGTCCAATGGAATAGTGGTTTCAGGGGAACTTGGTGGCAGGCTGTGCACGGAGAGCCCGTTGTAGCCCTTCCCTCACACTGTCTTCTCTTCCTGGGGCATATACTGCACACCCCACCAGGCGCCCAGACGACTGCCTGCCTGCTCACGACAACTGCGTGCTGGCTGACAGAAGGAGGACAGGCAGGGGTGGGGCTGGGAGATTGAAGGTAGGCCCAGGTCTTAGATCTTCTAGTGCAGTCTGGGTAGATGAGGTTCCTTTTGCAGACCAGTGGGGGCGGTGTAGGGGCCGCTCTGCAGGACCGTGTAAGGCCGTGAGACCAGGTTTCAGATGTGATGACATAAAAGAAAATGTGACAAAGTTCTGTCACAGAGACTTTATCCTGGTACTAGAAAGAAAAAAGTGCTAGCTGAGAAACACAACTGTGTACTGTTTTCAGTCTTTGAACATTTCGTGGTACCCCGTCCCTTTAGAAAAGTATAAAATCCAAAAAGTTCTGAGCACCAAAATAATTTTTTAAGTCTGCCTTGCAAGACCTGTTGGGCAGCAGAGCTTGTTGGGCAGCAGAGCTGACCGGCACTCACATGGTGTGAATGCCCGCACGTGGAGCTGAGGGCATGTCTGCTGTGGTCTGGACTGGGGTTGCCTTTCTAAAACGCTACCACTCTGATCTCTGAAACACATCTGGCCCCAAGAATTTCCGATAAGGGATCGTGGATCCTCTTAAATTGTCATTTTTGTTCGTTTTTTAAGTTTTGGAAATGGTCTTTAGAATGGTAAGTGTTTCCCTAAATGTTGGGTATAATTTTAATTTTAGAGCGTTTGACAAGTTTTGTTTGTAGTGTGCTTTGGGTTGTTGTGACTTCCCGTCCTCTCCTTGCCTCCCCGCTGCCCTCATCAGTGTTAAGAGTTGACCGTATCAGCACACCAGTGGGTTTTAGTGGAATTTGCAGCACAGTCCCATTCTGTTTATTGACATTTGAGGACCAGAGCCATAGCACCCACAATGGCTTTGTGGGCACAAAGTTGACCCTCAGTATCTGTGGATCCCTAATTGTGAATTCCCCAGCTCACTCAAATTTGTCTGTAACCCCAAAGCAGTACTACGCTTGGTCACTTGTGGGCAGGCGCACTGTGTGCAGGGTGGGCGTTGCCCAGCACGCGCACTCCCAGCTGAGCAGGTGCCCTCTTATGGTTTAGCATCACCTCCTTTGCATCTTTATGCTCTTTAGGGTGGTTTTACTATTTAAAATGAACTCCAAACACTGTCGTGTGTCCTTAGTGCAAGAACTCTGTGGTGTGTTTTATGGAGAAAAGAACGTGTGTTAGGTGAGCTTTGTTTAGGCATGAGTTATGGTGCTGTTGGCTGTGAGTTCATTGTTGATGAATCAACAATATAGATTAAATAAGGTGCCTTTACCCATAAGCACTCACGAAACAAGGTTGTGTATTGACCAGTTGACCCCCTATTTCTCCCCCGGGAGCCATGGTTCAGCACCCTCGATTGCAGTGTGAATGAGAGTCGGCTGTATTTCTCAGTCTCTGCTGAGAGCCTGGCTCTGCTTGGCGTGTCCCTGCAGAGCTGCAGGCTCTCCTGTGTGCAGCAGGTGCTCTGAGCTCTGCTTGCTTGCTTTCAGTGCACGACTTGAGACAGCAGATGACGGCCCTGCAGAACCAGCTCCAGCAGGTGCAACTGGAACGAGCAACTCTGAGCAGCAAGTTGAAGGCGTCCCAGGCCGAGATCTCGTCTCTGCAGCATGTCCGCCAGTGGTACCAGCAGCAGCTCGCCCTGGCCCAGGAGGCCCGGGTCAGACTGCAGGGCGAGATGGCCCATATCCAGGTATGGCCCCTGATGTGTCTCGTGTGGAACAGTTGCCTGTTTCCTAAATTAATGTTTTTAAGATTATTTTTTTATTTTTTTATTTGACAGAGAGGATAGGTAGGCAGAGCAGCGGGCAGAGGGAGAGGGGGAAGCAGGCTTCCCAAGCTGAGCAGGGAGCCTGATGCGGGGCTGGATCCCAGGACCCTGGGACCATGACCTGAGCTGAAGGCAGACGCTTAACTGACTGAGCCACCCAGGCGCCCCAAAAAGTCTTTGTTTTTAGATTTTATGGATACAGTTTTGAAAATATGTTGCCCATTCATCTGGCCCACACCCCATCCTGCAGAGCAGGCACTGGCCACGACCTCTGACACCAGGAGTCTTTCAGCTTCTGCTTGCACATTTTTTTTTTAAAATACTTTATTTATTTATTTGACAGAGCAGCGAGAGAGGGAACACAAGCAGGGGGAATGGGAGAGGGAGAAGCAGGCTTCCCGCGGAGCAGGGAGCCCGATGCGGGGCTCGATCCCAGAACCCTGGGATCATGATCTGAGCCGAAGGCAGACGCTTAACGACTGAGCCACCCAGGCGCCCCTGCTTGCACATTTTTAATTCTAAAATCCCCTCCCTGGAACTCCTGTGCCCAGAGCTGTGACAAGTCCCTCCGGGGGGGTGCCTGCCATTGTTTGAATCCAGCTCTCAACCCCATGTCTGCCTGGGTCTCAGGACTCTCGCCCCAGCTCCTGTGCCCTGGTCGCTGCCCTCCTGGGTTGTTTCTGACATGCGCGGAACACAGCATATGTCACCTTCCTGGTTGGAGCTTCGCTTTGCTCCAGCTGCTTGGGCACCAGGTCTTTCCTGCATGAACACTCTTGTTTCTCTCCATTTTATTGGGGGTGCAGGCATGTCCACCTCTGATTCTGCACGAGGAGTGGGGGAGCATGTGACCGTCCAGGCCCACGGAGTAACACTGGGCCCTGCATTTTTCCTCGAGGCCTCTCCCTCTGGGCCCGTCATGCTCCAGAGGCGCTCGGGATGGTAGGCAAGTGGCTGAAATGCACTTTGCTCAACATCTTGGTGCTTTGGACTAATTAGATCGCGAGGATGCCGAATGGTGCCTCGGTCAGCCTCTCTCTTTTTTTTGAATTCAGCTATAGGTTTTGTTCTCTCTCTCTTTCTTTTTTCCTTTGGCCAGATTTCACGTGCAAGTGCAGACTGGCCTATCTGCCAGAGATAAAATATTACAGATTAATTAAAACTTTATTTCTTAAGTAGAAGATGTAAAATACTAACTCCACCAAATGCTTTTTTAAAAAAATAAACCTAAAGTCTACAAATACATGAAATAGAAATATTCTTAAATTTGTGTTACATATGTTTTAAGCCAAAGAACCATACAGGTAAGCATTTATTCTATTCACAACATACTTGGAAATCACTGTAGAAGTTAATGCAAGCTTGAAGCAACAGTGCATTTATATGAGGCATAAAATATTTAAAGAAGCTACATTTATGTGTCTTCACATAGACAGAAGTGGAGGGAGGGCCCTGGGCAGTGGAGTCTGGGAGCCATAACTGCTTTTCTCAGATACCTCCGGAGCCCAGGGTCAGCATTCCTGATTCGGGTGGTGAAGACATTTCCTCCCTCTTTCCCTGGTAACATAGAATGTTGCCAGGTACATTTAAGAGGCAGGACAGAGCAGGGTGATCGTTTTTCTTTCATTGCCTTAGAACACAATCCCAGCAAATGGCGCCTCCTCCTGCCCTGGGTAGCTTCCATTTAGACCCAAAATTCACAACTTCTGGTCACATCTGGCATCTCAGAAGTCAAGAAGTGTTCAAATTAGATCTGGAAGTAATGTGTGGGAAGTTCCAGTCCCAGACCCGTGTGCCTTCAGGCTTCTCTTTCCTGAGCCCCCTCTTGAGGCTGGCATGCTATGCTGGGCACCTTCTGTGTGAGAGACGGTGGGTCAGAGGAGGCCTGACTGTCTGATGGCCGGGGGTCTGACCCCGGGCTGTATTGCTTCCTGGGAATGGCCAAGGTCAGCCTGGCAAGTATCTCAAGACAGGCGCTGGGAGGGCAGGGCATGACATGTGTCTGGTCATAGTTGGTCAGGTCATTTTTGGGGCAGATCCCAGTCCCTGCTGTCCCTGCAGCCAGATGAGGCCCCTCATCTTTGGGCTCACACATATACCTTCCCTGGGAACTTTTGTGTAGGTCTTGCTACAAAGTGCATAGCCTCAGGGGGATTGACCACTGACATCTGGGCTGCCAGCCTGCCCCTCTTAGGCACAAGCAACCCAGATGGCCCAGGTGGCAGGAGGGTGGGCAGTGAGCCCTGTGTGGTGGGGTCCTAGGGAGCAGCTTTCCCTGGGGGCCATCGCTGGGTAGGGACCCTCACCGTCATGGCCTCAGGGATAGGCCAGTCTGCACTTGGCCTGAAATCTGGCCATTTTCTACCTTGTGGAATTTCTCTCTGAAGGTTGGACAGATGACCCAGGCAGGCCTCCTGGAGCACCTGAAACTTGAGAACGTGTCCCTGTCCCACCAGCTGACGGAAACCCAGCACAGATCCATTAAGGAGAAGGAACGCATTGCTGTCCAGCTGCAGGGCATTGAGGTGAAGGCTGTGCCATCCCGGGACCACAGCTGTTGGTGTTTGTCTGGGGTTGGGGCTTTGTTTGTTTTGTCACTGGTCAAGGTTAAAGTTTACAAACACATGTACATAAACATTAACATTATATATATGTACATATATTCAAGTGTCTTTAAAATAATCTTTTGGACAAGTGGCAGTGATTTAAGGTTGGGGATTCCGACCCTGACATTCACCAGAAGCTCATGTTTCTCTGATCTGAGCTGCTGGTGCCAACTTGTCTTCCATGATGCACGTGGGCCCTGCGCTCGGCCGGTGGTGGGCAGGTGCCCGCGTAGCAGGTGGGAGAGGCAGTCAGCATGTTGGATCTCTGAAGGCCTTACAGTAACAAGCATTTTCTTGTCTCTGAGCTCTCAGCTTGTGTCCTGTTTAACCCCCGGCAACTAACCACACGCCCGAGTTAGGACAGGACCAGGGCCTCTGCACATTATTTCCAGGGTGGTGGGGTGCAGTAGCTTTGACCAGGTCTCCTTAGCTGGGAGACCCTGTATGATTTCTTACCCTCTCTGAGCCTTGTTCCCTTGTTTTATAAAATGAGGATGATAATACGTACTCAACAGATAGGCTTGTCGGGAACTGAAAAGGAACAGTGCACAACATGTGGGCAGCGTGTGGTCTGAGTTGTGTGCCGAGGATGTGGAAAGTTGGCGTTCTGGGACTGTGGCTGTTCCCCTGTCTCCCGCTTCTCTGCACCCCCGTGTCCTCACGGGTGACGAGGGTGACGGAAGAGCATCATGGCACGGCAGACATCTGTTTCAGGGGCTCAGCACCAAAGAACTGAAAAAACTTTAAGTTATAAACTAATGTTTTTCCCTGAGAAACATACCTAGTTATTGGATTTTATCTACATACTCACACCATAAAGAATGTGGTATTTGTCTCCCAGCCCTGCTCTGGTTTACCATCCCCAACGCAAGGACACAGTGCAACCTGTCCTCGCGTTAGAGGCAGCCGGGGAGGGGTCGCTCATCACTTTATCCCATTTCTTAAAGCGGGTTGTCTGCTTGCTTCTCCCCTCGGCCAGGCCCAAGGGCCAGCAGAGAGAACCGTGGGCAGAGGAATAGGTGGGGTGACCTGTCTTTTGGGCAGCAGGAGATCACCAGCCTTGGGCCCCTGTGGCCCTTGGCTCCTCTGTGTGCGGGTCGAGGACAGGACAGTGATGTGGATGAGGTTTTCCCACTCAGACTGCTGTGGTCTTCAGGTTATCCTGCTTTTTAAAAAACACCATTTTCTGTCCTTAGGCCGACATGTTGGACCAGGAAGCTGCCTTTGTGCAGATTCAAGAGGCAAAGACAATGGTGGAGGAGGACCTGCAGCGGAGGCTGGAGGAGTTTGAAGATGAGAAGGAGCAGCTGCAGAAGATGGCGGCCTCGGCTGCATCCCTGGAACAGCAGTTGGAGCAGGCAAGCACCCCCGTGGCCTCGTGTGGCTGCCCTGGTGCCACACACGGCTGTCCTCGCCTGGCTGGCCTCACGGCGCATCTGTGCTGCGGTGTCTGTTGAGTTCGTTACGGTGTCACATCCACAGTCCGGCTGCGGTTGCAGACCTGGCCGGGTGTTGACTTCTGCTGGTATTCTTCCACACCAGAACTTTCCATGCGGAACGCTGACCCCAAAGCGTCTGTCCAGGTGATCTAAGCCCTGAGCGCACACTCTTAGAGCCGGGCAGTCACAGTGAATCAAGCTCCTGTTTTCCAGGTGAATTTGACTTTGCAACAGCGAGACCAGCAGCTTGCGGTGTTACAGCAGGAGCACCTCGACCTGCTGAGGCAGCTCACCTCAACACAGGAGACGTTGCAGGCCCGGGAGCAGTCCCTCGGCGACCTGCAGATGCGCTACGACGAGCTGCATGCCAGGCTGGAGGAGCTGCAGGGGGAGGCCGCCTCCAGGGACGACACCATCCGCTTCCTGCAGAATGAGAAGATTGTCTTGGAGGTGGCTCTGCAGGCGGCCAGGAGCGGCAGGGAGGAGCTGGACAGAGGAGCCAAGCGCTTGGAAGAGGGCACTGAGGAGACATCACAGGTTTTAGAGCAGTTGAGGCAAGAGTTAGCCGTGAAGTCCAGCCAGGTAATGCACTTCGCTGCCATTCTGTGGTGAGTGGAAACCACACGTGTAAGGCCCGGTGCTGGCTGTTGGCTCCTGTTTGAGCACCTTGTTTTGTAAACGTGGAAGACCGCTTCTAGGGCAGGGCCCAGGGCTCGGAAGGCGGGGGTGGGGGGGTGGATGGGCACCCACACCAGCAAGCTGTGTGCCTCCTGGTAGCTGCTGGGTGTGTAGATGCTGAGGGCTGGGAAACCGAGTCATGTTTGGTGCGTTGAAAGTAATCTACCAGGGAGCACCTGGGTGGCTCAGTCAGTTAAGTGTCTGACTCTTGACTTTGGCTTGGGTCATGATCTCAGGGTCATGGGATTGAGCCCCACATCGAGCTCCACACTTACTGTGGAGTCTGCTTGTCTCTCTCCCTCTGCTTGTCCCCCCCCCCACTCCACCCCTGCTCAAGTGCACGTGCGCTCTCTCTCTCGCTCTTTCTCAAGTAAATAAATCTTTGAAAGAAAGAAAGAAATCCACCAAGAAGCTCCAGTTTCTGTCCACAGATGACGTGGAGCTCAGATGTGGGGAAAGTTGTGTGGAACTTTTGGTTTTTCCCTGCTGCATGCCCATAGTGGGGCTTGCTGTACGCGTGGCAGGACGGTCGTGTGTCCGTGGGTGAGGGCAGGAGACACGGGAGGGTCCAGGTGTCTATGGACGTGAGCAGCACGGCACTCCTGGGAGCCGTTATGCTAACAGCGTGATGTGACCTGACATAGGCAAACGTTAACAAACAGAGGACGAGGAAGGTGCAGGGTGTGCAGGCAGTGGAGTTCGCCCTCCCTGAGCATTAAGGACAAGGAAATCGGTGGCAGGTTTCCTTCTGGGAAGTAAAGTACAGGGGGCCTGTGTTTTCTCTGCAAACACTGCCCTGGGCCCAGTTGCTTCTCAGACAGGACACGAAAGCAAGTCGAGAAGCAGAGGGTGCGTAGTTTAGGGGGATTGCGGGGACCTTCTGGACGAGGCTGAATTTGGTCTTACTGTTGGCTCAGTAAGAGGGATGCCAGCTGACGCCTGAGAAATGCAGACCTGGGGTCTGGGGCGCTCTGTCACACTGGAGTCTTGCCTGTGTTGTTGTGAGGTCTCTGGAGGTTACAGTGTGGTCTGAGATGATGATCCTACAAACGGAGGGAGGCGGGAATGGGGGCTGGCCTCCCTGTCTCCCTGGGAGCAGAGCGGCCTCAGTGAGGTCTGCGCGCACGTGTCCTTTGTAGGTGGAGCACCTACAGCAAGAGGCCGCCACCCTGAAAAAGCAGACACAGAAAATAAAGGAGCAGTTTCTTCAACAAAAGGTAAAAATGTGTTGTTGGTTTTCTTTATACGCAGCAAGTGTGTGAAAAAAATCACGTGTGGTTTAATCATTTCTCTAGAACAAAAGTGGTCAAGAGGAAAGCAACGTTTAGACCCCCTCAGTTGTTTTGTTTTGTCTTTTTTTAAAGGCACCGATCCTTAGCTGTGCTCTCACCCCTCCTATTTTAAGGTCTCAAGTCAGGATGCAATTTCAGAATAGGGTTGGCATCTGTGATGCGATCTTGGCCTTTTGTCACGTCAGAGAGCGCATGCCGGGCTATGACACAGACTGACTTCTGTGAACATGTCTTTGAAAAATTAGACCCTGATCTAGCGTTGAAGTAAGTCCTGGCTCATGCAAAGGGTGGGGGCTCACATTTTATGTGAGCGAAGCCGGTGTTGGCTATTGGAGGAATGAATGCGAAGTGTTGCTAGCACCAGGGTTTTGAGAAAGGCCGACCCAAGGGAGAGCTAGAAGTGGTTCTGGATTTTGTTGCTGGGACGCAAGCCGGGGGAGGACCCAGCAGAAGCCTGGCAGCGCGGCTGAGGGGAGAGCACTCGCCAGGTGACATCTGTGTGCGGCACCCAGACATGTTCAGGTGTGTAAGGTGATGCTGTGCCTCCGTGGATGGTGTCCTGGAGTTGGTGGAATATGTTATTCGTAGTCTAAAACACGTTCTGCCGCGGATTGGTGGTGAGCATTTTTGTTGAAGGAGACCGCACCTCGTGCTGGCTGCAGCCTCTGTCTTGTTGGGCAGGTGATGGTGGAGGCCTACCGGCGGGACGCCACCTCCAAGGACCAGCTCATTGGTGAGCTGAAGGCCACGAAGAAGAGGCTTGACTCAGAGCTGAAGGAGTTGAGGCAAGAGTTAATTAAACTTCAAGGGGAGAAAAAGTCTGTGGAGGTAGAACATGTGCGCTTGCAGAAGGAAGTGTCCCATGTCCATCAGCAGATGGCCGACCTCGAAGGGCATCTCCAGTTGGTGCAGAGGGAGCGCAACGAGATGGAGACGCACTTGCAGGTCTGGGATGCATTTGACTTTGAGGTTCTGCCAAACATGCCCAGGGGTTTCTTGTGCAGGGTGGAGGGCAGGACAGCCTGGAACAAGTCCGTCCGGGAAGGACGGGCAGACGGACAGGTTCCCCCCTGGAGGCAGCATGGGGCTGGAGGCCATCAGCGTTCATAGTTCACCCCAGCGGGTGCTGGGAGGGGCCTGGGGGGCTCTGGGAGGGGTGGTCCCTCGGGGACTGTGGACAGAGCCACAACCAAAGGCTGACCTGGGCGTTCCCTCCAGCACTCTGGACCGCTCTCAAGTGATCGCCTATAAAAGAACACACCTCTGTCAGGGTCCTCTCCAGAGCCCTTGTCCTTGAGGGTGACCCTGAACCGGCACCGTTGAGCCACGAGGAGCCTGGTCCTGAGAAGCAGGCCGCAGAGGGAGGACTTTGCTTTCCTCACTTTGTCTTTTCTTCCCTTCTTCTGAAGTCTTTGCAGTTTGATAAAGAGCAGATGGTAGCTCTTACAGAGGCCAACGAGGTGCTCAAGAAGCAAATTGAGGAGCTACAGCAAGAAGCCACCAAGTAAGTGGACCCGAGGCGTGTGCAGGCAGAAGGGGTGAGCGCGGGCGGCCTTGAGCTCTGTGGGGGACACGCAGCAGCCAAGGGCCAGGGGACTCTGAACACACTGTCAGTTGAGCCCTTGCTAAGGAGAGGGGACACAGGATGTACTTCTAGGCAGCCAGGGAAGTCAGATTCCAAAGTTAAGGCTGGAGAGGGGGTCCCGGCATGGTTTGGTGGCTGCCCGTGGTTAATAGGCACTCCCCCTGTGAGCGTGCTCCATGCCAGGTGAGTGTGGCAGCGCCTGCCCCTCCCAGTTCCCCCAGCAGGGCTGACTGCGTGTGTATCCCTCTTGCTGTGTGTATGCACGGCAGGTAGCCTTTTGGGGCCTTTAACCCCCATGGCATGTCTTGTGTCCTGCGTTCCTTTACTTTCGTCAGCTGGAGATTACTTGTGAGCTGCGTTTTTGAGATTATTATTGCTATTCAAGAAGAGCACTGGAAGCGTTTAGAAGGACAGCAGTATTCTCTGATTTTCACGAGATCATTTAAGCGGCTCTGAGAGGGGAGCAGGGCAGAAGTAGGTGCAGTGCTGGGCTCTGTGAGGGCAGCTGACACCAACCCCACGTGCTGGATCTGGGCGGAGCGGCAGTTAGCCGGCGTGGGGCTGGGGGTGGGCAAGGACGAGCCTTTCCTTGGTGTTAGTGCCAGGACATCTTGTTGGAAGTGAGTTCAGACTCCTCTGTCCTGCCTGCCACACCCTAGGGCCATCACAGAGCAGAAGCAGAGGATGAAGCGGCTGGGCTCAGACCTGAGCAGCGCTCAGAAGGAGATGAAGACCAAGCACAAGGCCTATGAGAATGCGGTGGGCATCCTCAGCCGCCGCCTGCAGGAGGCCCTTGCAGCCAAGGAGTCGGCAGACGCAGAGCTGAGCCAGCTGAGAGCCCAGGTGGCCGGCGGTAGCCGTGACCTCCCTCTGCACGTGGGTAACCCGTCTGCTCTCGGCCGGGCTGCCAGTGGTGCAGACTCAGTACTGGGGACTCGATGTGTTAGAAACGTTCGAGAGTCTGGAGACCCGGGGCACAACTAGCGCATAGGCAGCCTTTCTGTGAAGTATTGTGTGCTAGCGACGTGACCAGGGGCTTGAACACTGCACAGACGTTCTCTCGATTCACCCCTGCTCGCCCGCGCACCATCGCCTCCTCCCTCAGCCTCCCTGCCCACTCCTGTCCTTCTCCACACCCCCTCCGTGTCTGGGGAGGGATTTCCTGAGTGCCCGTGTGGGAGGCTCAGGGGGAAGTATTTGGAAGGTCCAGGAAAGCTTTTTGGAGGAAAGAATCTTTGAAGTGGTCTTGAATAACAGGAGGTGTTGGAGTCCGGGGGGCACATCTCAGCAGGGGAGTGCTGTGCATCTCGAGGGCACGGTGGGCCCCTGGGGGGGTGGGCTGGTGTGAGATGGAGGGCTGACTGGTGGCTCGGGCAACGTGAGACCTCACTCTTCTATGGTGGGACACTGACGGGCGGTGGCTGAGCACAGCCGAGGCCAGGCGAGGCTGTGTCCGGGAGACCACGTGGGCTCTCCTGCCGTAGCTGAGATGGCCGGGCCACGTGAAGGCTGCAGAGCGGCCAGTGGGACAGGCCACTGATGGCTTGTGGTCACTCAGGAGGGGAAGCTGTGAGCCGGCGGGGCAGGCCGGGGCCAGCGGAGGGAGCAGCACCCAGTGTCCAGCTTGAGGGTGGTTGCAGCGGGCTCTGCTGACAGGAATCAATCGGGGGAGGCAGTCGGTGTGGGCCAGAGTGGGCCGGGAGTGGCTGTAAATACTCAGACTCGAAGGAAGAGGGACCCTGCACATGGTGAGGGGCATGGGCTCTGCTTTTCCTGCTGTTACATCATGAGGCAGAAGCCTTTTGCTCTGCATTATTTTTTAGGATAAATGGGCGGATGTCCTCCTGGAGGAGGATGGAGGATGGGCCCTGGGCTTGCAGGGCGTTTTTATTCGTGTGATGAAGGCTGCCAGAGCCCCCCGAGTGTCCCCGAGTCCTTGGTGCCCCACACCCTGCCGTCTTTGGCCAGCATCAAGTTTTACCCAACTGCATTAATTTGCTTTTTGTTTATTCCTACCCAGCATTTCATTTGTGTTTAGCAGTTGTGTTTCTTACTAAATGAAGTTTGTCTTGATCTTCTCTCCATGTAAGAATTTATTAGTGGGAAGCCATCATGGCACGTTTTCTTACCAAATTAGGTAAACTTAATACTTCTTTTACCTAATTACTTTATAAAATAGCGGGGGGGGAAATTTTATTAAGTTGCAATTTCCCTTCAACCTAGAAATATTTCTCTGCTTCTTTTTTGATTCTTTGGCTTCTCCGGTGTCAGGGATCGACTGTAAATGCCCCGGGGAGCCTGTCCCCCCTCCCCGCCCCACCAGCACTGCAGCCTCAGAGCCAGAGTCCTGGTTTGGTCTGTGCTTCACCACTTGTAAAATGGGGCCTTCGGCAGGCTACTCACCTTCTTGATCCTCAGTAAAGTGAGGCCAAAATGGAGTAAACAGTAGAACCTCCTTGGTCAGAATGGCTCCGTGAAGAAATGCACACGAAGTGATCAGAGTGGTGGCTGCACCACCCAGCAAGCATGAGCTTGAGCACACACGTGGGGTGTTAGTTCTACCGCGCCTGGTACAGCTTGCTTGCCACAGATAGCAATCCATCGTTCTTAGCTGTGAGCCAGAGTTTTTCTGTATTTTCAAAGCATTTAACTCGGGGGAGGGAAGTACGGTAGGACTGCAGCGCCTGTCGAGCATGGTCAGCAGGCTCATGCGGTGGGTGCGATGCAGCCCTGCAGGGAGGGAGGTGAGTGCCTGTCACATGCCGTATTGAAACCCATGACCAAATCTGCCTTCCCGTCCTGGCTGTTAGGAGAGAATCCAGGCTCTGGAGGCAGAACTGCAGGCTGTTGGCCACAGCAAGACGATGCTGGAGAAGGAGCTCCAGGAGATTATCACACTGACCAGCCAGGAGCTGGAGGAGTACCGGGAGAAGGTGCTGGAGCTGGAGGACGAGGTAGGCCGAGCTTCGTCCTCACACAGCGGGACGAGCCTCACTGCCCCCGTGCAGCTCAGGGGCAGAGAGAAGGGCTCCTGGAGAGGCAGAACTTGGCCTGTAGCTCAACCTGCACTGTGCTTCTGTGCGCCGTCTGACCACTTGTCTGGGTCCCTCTCACCGCCCCCCCCCCTTATTGAGGCTCCCCACACGCTCTCTTGAGCACCCCTCTGGTGTGGTGGTTGTCAGAGTGTTAGGATTAAGATGTCCCCAGTAAGAACACTCTGGTTGCAAATGATGAGAAAACCTGTTCTTTAAAATAACTTCACGTAACTCTTGGGCCCAGAGAGGCTGTGGCTTCAGATGATGCTACTCGTAGCAGTTGGTGATGTCACCAAGGGCTCTCCATGGGGTCCCAGGCTCCCCAGGAGAAAGCCGGGGGCCTGGGAGCTGGGGTGTGCTGCGTCTGCTGCAGTCCTGGGGTGGCCTGTTGGAGCTTCTTGGTGCAGTTGTTCTATTTCCGGTGTGGGGGAGCTTAGCTCCATTAGCCAGAACAGGTAATTGTGTAACTTCACAGTGGTTTTGATCTGTTTCAGCTTCAAGAATCTAGAGGCTTTAGGAGGAAGATAAAGCGCCTTGAGGAGTTGAATAAAAAGTTGGCCCTTGAGTTAGAGCATGAGCGAGGGAAGCTTACAGGCCTGGGGCAGTCCAACGCAGCTCTGCGGGAACACAACAGCATCTTAGAAACAGCTTTGGCCAAGAGGGAGGCAGACCTGGTTCAGCTGAACCTCCAGGTACTCAGACCCTTTGCCGGAGGCAGGGGACTCGCTTCGGGAGAGGTGGCTCTCGGTCGGGCGCATGTCGCCTCACGCAGCGGTCCCAGCCGCCCGCAAGCAGAGTGCTGCCCCGTCACAGAGACTCAGAACAGGGAGGATCTGGTGACATATGAAGCCCACCTTGCAGCTCTGTGGGGTGGGGCAGAGCTGGAGCTCCTAATGCTCCCCCTTACCGAGGTGTGGAGGCACTGTGCCCCGCCCATTAGCTTCCTGGTGGGCAGGGGACTCCCCGCTCAAGCTGGTCCCACTGTTCATAAGAGGCTCTTCCCTGTGTGATGCAGAGCTGGGATTTGAACCTTGGTGGGGCTCTCTCTCCGGACCCTGTTCTGGGCTCCGGCTCTGCAGCCTCTCTGGGGCTTGGGGAGGAGGCCTGGCACTTCAGAGCCCTCTTCGAGGGGCAGTCAGCGGCCAAATCCAGCCCCCGTCTCAAATTATCCAGCTGTTAGAGAGCTTATAAACTTTTATTTGTCACTGGTTCCCACCCTTGCCATATCTGGTGGCCTCATCCATCTGCGTTACCTGCCTCACCAGGGAAGTATTTGTGTTTCGAAGCCCCGATTACAGGTAACCTTCGGGTGCTTGCTCTGTGCTTGAATACGGCCATATGACTTGACTGCCATCTCAGACTTCTCGTTCTCCAGAGATGGCATTCTCCCTCCTCCGCTACCTTGTGCGCCTGTTGCCACCATCCTGCCAGGTTCCCCACGTGGCACTGGGGCCCCACAGGCCTTCGAAATCCGAGTCCCCGCTCACTCAGTGCTCCGGTGATGTGCTATAGGTCCAGGCAGTCTTGCAGCGGAAAGAGGAGGAGGACCGCCAGACGAAGCAGCTCGTCCACGCCTTACAGGCTGCGCTGGAGCGAGAAAAGGCCACCGTGCACAGCCTCAAGGAACAGGTGTGTGACCAGCTTCCCACTGGCTCTAAATTGCACCTTCAGAGCCTGTCGGAATGCAGTTTTTCTAAAAACTGAGTATGCGCACGCTTGACGCCTCACTTCCCTTCCAGGAATTTATTGTACAGATATCTTTGCTGCTGTGTTCTGAGAACGATGTCATCACAGCCTTGGTGACAGTGAGCAGCTGGAGGGGGCCCTGATGTCCATCCATAGGAGAGTGGACTTGGATTAACCCAGATGCAGTCACATGGGCCTAAGATGCACGCACAGAGCCACGTAGAGACGTATTTGCTGGAGAACAGTGTCGCACACGTAGTGTTGAGTTAAAAAAGCAAACTGCAGAACAATAGCTGACCCCATTAGTGTTAAAAGAGCAATGGAGAAAGAAGGTTGCATGCACTCTTTGCCGTTTCCTGCCTGGCTCCTTTCCATGCTCAGGTGTTCACCAGTGCATCAGGTCAGTCTTCCAGCAGAGAGGCCTGTCCCACTGCCCCTGTGAGCTGGAATAGACCTCAGCTCCTGTTTCCCACCATGGTGCCGTGCCTGTTACTCCTCATCAGAACATAAGCTTCATGGCTTGAGGGCCGTGACTCATTTACCCTCATGTCCCCAGTGCCTGGCACCGAAGAGATGTTCAGAATGTGTTTGCTGTGTGCAAGGGTGCATGTCACATCCTTTAAAAATGTTTCCGTGATGATATGATAGGTAGAAAGAAAGAAATTGTTCTTCATTTTTTTGGGTGAGACAGTAAAATATTCTTTTAAGACAGTACAGTTTTAAGATCTGTTAAGAACATGTTACTATGGGGACACCTGGGTGGCTCAGTCGGTTGAGCATCTGCCTTTGGCTCAGGTTCTGGGATCGAGTCCCATGTTGGGCTCTGTGCTCAGTGGGGAGCCTGCTTGGGATTCTCTCTCCCTCTGCCCCTCCCCCCCACATGCATGCATGCGCACTCTCTCTCAAAAGAAGAACTTGTCACCATGAACAGACCCCCGTTTGCCTTGTCTGGTTGGTTTTTATACCTTGCGTGGAGTTGAGCTGAGTCAACTACCCTCCCTACTTTTCTACCCCCCAATTCCTATCTTTTGCTCACTTACTAATTTTATTCTCCCTTTAATGAAGTTGAATTTTATTCTCCCTTTATTCTCTAGTTAGCAGGACTGACAGAGCTAGACTCTGCTGATTGACACTTTCAGTTCCTTCATTCCCTGTCTGCTTGGAAAGGGATTTTTTTTTTTTCTTTTTTTTAAAGATTTTATTTATTTATTTGACGGAGAGAGAGACAGGAGAGAGGGAACACAAGCAGGGGAAGGGGGAGAGGGAGAAGCAGGCTTCCCGCTGAGCAGTGAGCCCGATGCGGGGCTCGATCCCAGGATCCTGGGATCATGACCTGAGCCAAAGGCAGACACTTAACAACTGAGCCACCCAGGCGCCCAGGATATTGATTTTTTCTAAGTATGATATTAAACAGTACACAGAGATATAGTTAGAGCAATTTCATAGTGTAAGGAAATTTGTGAATAGAAGTGCTGGGGAAAATGATGGATATGTGACCTTGGCTTCTTTTTTTTTTTTTTCTTTTTAAGGGCAGTAACTGTGAACTGTCCTCATTTATGTCTCTAAATGCATTTCATGAAATAATCTGGACTGTTTGAACAGTACATGCTAGTAGTAAAAAGTAAAAAAAAGTCATAAAGATTGAAGTACAGATCATCTTGAATTTGTACCTGGTGATAAACCACTGTTAACATCTTCTGTTGGGAGTTTTGTTTCCTTATTTATAAGAGTTTTTTCTATATTTGACTGTCGTATATTATAAATATTTTTATTAAACTATTTTTTTTAAAGATTTTATTTATTTATTTGACAGATACAAGCAGGGGGAGCAGCAGGCAGAGGGAGAAGCAGACTCCTTGCCAAGCAGGGAGCCCGATGCGGGGCTCGATCCCAGGACCCTGGGATCATGACCTGAGCTGAAGGCAGACGCTTAACTGACTGAGCCACCCAGGCGCCCTTTATTAAACTTGTAAAAAATGAAGTCCCTGCTTGTGCAGTTAGATAAGAAAACCGAGTTACTGGAAAGGAAACTGGAAGATTTTGTTATATTCTGAGAATTTGCTGGTCTCAGAAACCTTGAGAGAAACTATCGTTCATCATGAAAAGACTACTGTGTCATAAATGGATAGTAATCAGTAGCTTTACTGCAGTTACTTGGTGTGATGGAAGGATATGTTCCTCCCCAAAAACATAAACTAGGACTGGATTTAACAAGAAATAGACAGATATACTTGAGGAGGACAGTCGAAACTATTTAGACCAAGGAAACCTTGCATGCATTTGTTCGTTCAGCAGATCCTGGCGGCTGGCTGTATGTCGCCTGCCTGCGTGCCAGGCATGTGTTAGGGCTTCAGTCCTTTGGGAGCTTAAGAAGCTTTGGAAGGAACAACTGCAGGAGCAGCTGGGACGCGGGTGGGGTTGGCGGTAGCTCTCTTCGCAGACATCACATCGGGCGTGTTCTGTGTGGTTCTTGCCTCTGTCCTTGGTGACGCGGGTTTTTGTTGTTGTAGGTCGCTGCCGCCAAGGCGGAAGCAGGACATAACCGCCGCCACTTCAAGGCTGCCACCTTGGAGCTGAGTGAGGTGAAGAAGGAACTGCAGGCCAAGGAGCAGCTGGTGCAGAAGCTGCAGGCTGAGGCCGAGGGTCTCCAGTGAGTGCCAGGCGGGCAGAGGGCTGGGTCAGTGCCACGGCCGGGGACGGACGGGCAGGAGCGCCACCACGTCTTCTGGTCAGGACCTTCAGCACGTTCAGGTCACCTGGGTTTTAGCAAATCTCTGAGCACTCTGGAGGCAAATCTAAGAAGGAGAATGTATCCGATCCCTGTCTTAGGAAGCCTGCAGCTCAACTCCGAAATTTCCGGCCTGACATGGCTGTCCCCACTCCACACCTGAGGGTCCTTCACCAGGAACAGAGAGCCCTGTGTGAGGGGCACATGTCCCGAGGGCTGTGCCCCACCACCGAGGTTCACTGCAGCCTCCAATTAGGGCAGCCTTGAGTTGAGCACATGTAGGGGTGCGTGTTGGGAGCTTTTCTCCCATTGTAATCCATAAAATGGGCTAGCAAAATGTCCTTCCTGGGGCTTTTGTGAGGATTCGTCACGACAGAGCACTACAGAGCTCCTAGAACAGTCGCCGCCCAGAGTGAGCAGTGTGTGAGTTTCTGTCACCCCTGATGGATAATGTTCAACCGAGCACACTTTGTGGTAGGGTTAGGGTGCTGTGATTTCATGCTTCCTTGTTTTTATGCTAGGATTCAAGAGGGGAAACATTCCCAGGAAATAGCACAGTTCCAGGAGAAGCTGGAGGAGGCCCGGACCCAGCTCCAACTCCTGCAGAAGCAGCTAGACGAGCAGCTGAGCAAACAGCCTATAGGGAACCAAGAGGTGACCTGCCTGGGAGGCTTTGCATTTCCACTTAGCAGGACTGACAGAGCTAAGTGGAATCAGCTACTGCTGATTGACACATCAGTTTCTTCATTCATTCCCTGTCTGCTTGGAAAGGGATATTTATTTTTTCTAAGTATGATATTAAACAGTACATAGATATATAGTTAGAGCAATTTTGTAGTGTAAGAAAGCCACTTTAAAATTCTTTTGGTCATGTGACTTTCTCTCTCCTCTAGATGGAAAATCTCAAATGGGAGGTGGAGCAGAAAGAAAGAGAAGTCCAGTCCTTGAGGCAGCAGCTGAACTTGACCGAGCAGCAGAGTAAGAAGGAACTGGATGGAATACAGCAGTTATCACAGGTATGTGCTGTGTAAAGGCCCTGGGGCAGAAAGTCAGAGACCGCACCTCACAAGGTGCTAAGTGCATGACGTGAGTTACCCCAAACCGAATGCTTCCACCAAACCATTTTGCAGGCATTATCCATTTCAGAAAGAAGGCCAGGTCACACAACTGAAGGAGGCCAAGCCCTAGCGCTATGTACGCCCTGGGCTGAGCTCTGTGAAATGTACCAGGAATGGGATCTGACACAGCCTAGTCAGTGAGGCAGTACATGTGAAAAGTTCACCAGTCTGTGATGCGCTTTTCCACAAAGAAACCTGTGTGCGGGTTGACCACTTGCGCAAAGGATCAGAGAGAGAGCTCTTGCCAGGATTCCTACTTGTGGATGGCTGGCTTGAGTAACAGGATTGATTTATATTCTTTCTTCCTAATGGTGAGGCTTATTCCAGTAGCTGACCTTGGAATGAATTTATTTATGTATGTATGTATAGATTTTATTTATTTATTTGACAGAGAGACAGCGAGAGAGGGAACACAAGCAGGGGGAGTGGGAGAGGGAGAAGCAGGCTTCCCGCCGAGCAGGGAGCCCGATGCGGGGCTCGATCCCGGGACCCCGGGATCATGACCTGAGCCGAAGGCAGACGCTTAACTGACTGAGCCACCCAGGGGCCCCTGACCTTGGAATTTAAATGGACTCTTGGGATCCATTATAGACAGTGGACACGGGAATATTGCTGGTTCCTCGTCAGAGGCTCTGAAATCTGGGTAAGGACGTTGAGGATGTGACTGTAATGGGACGCTGCCCAGCCCAGACCGCATACAGCATCATAGAAGAGTTGCTGTTAGTTTCTAGCCCCTTAGACTTGTGACATACAAGCTAAGATCTTAGCAGCACAGGCAAGATCCTTCAGTTTATAAAAACGTGTGACTTCCCCTTCTTTAGAACATCAGAGCCGAGTTGGAGATGGTGCAGGACGATCTGTCCCTGACCCAGAAAGATAAATTCATGCTTCAAGCTAAAGTGTCAGAGCTGAAGAACAACATGAAGACTCTGCTCCAGCAAAACCAGCAGCTCAGACTGGACCTGCGGCGTGGCGCAGCGAAGACGGTACTCAGACCCCGCGCCTCCATCAGGTTCCCGGGCCCAAGGCACCCCTGCTGGGCGGGTGGCTGGGGTACTTTCTGGTTACTCAGACAGGAAGTTCTGTGTAACCAACACTGAGCAGCTACTGTGTGCAGAAAGGATGCTGGAGTCTTGTGCTTGGCAGCAGGCCAGACACTTTTATCTTGGTGCCTTTTCCAAGAGCTCTTTGCTTCTTTTTATGAATCACGTATCCTTTTGTTGTAATACGCTTTATAAGCCACATGAGGGCTCGTTTGCTGGTCTTCACAAGAGCCCCTGGCCTGGTAGGTGAGCCAGCTGGGGCCAGCACTGCCAGATGGGCTTGGGGGCCTGGGGAGCCCCGCCCAGACCCTCTGTACCCAGCATTTGTTTCTCTGCTCAGGCCACGTAAATATTCTCCAGGTGCAAAGAAATCCCTCAGACTCAGAGGTTTATTTAGCACTGTTTGGCTATCTGTGGAAAAAGTTTGAAGTTCTAGAAAGGGGAGTTGTAGGAGTTAAAAATTGACGTATTTCTTAGGGATATGCAGGGTCAAGGCTGTGGTCTTTTGTGGAAAGCCCCCACAGTTCCCATAAGGGTGTTCTCGCTTGTGATTTAGGTCGTCCTCCTGAGTAGCCAGCATTACGCTGTTTGTGCATGGTCACGTGCATTAGGAAGACGCTCACCCATTCAGCCAACATTCCCTGAACCCTTTGGCTGTCAGCTCTGCCAGCCTGGAAGCAGGGGGGCATGCCTTCCCCGAGGGCCCATCGTGAGCTAGGATGCCCTCTGGGAGCACTTGTTGTGATGATCGGGGACCGATAAGGGGAAGGTGTGGTTGGTGTCAGCCTCCAAGTGAGAGGGCTCTAACCATGTGCTTTTAAAAACAGAGAAAGGAACTGAAAGGCGAGGCCAGCTCTTCTGGCCCCGTGACGCCAGTGAAGATCCCTGACTGCCCTGTCCCGGCCTCCCTGCTGGAGGAGCTGCTGAGGCCCCCACCTGCCGTGAGCAAGGAGCCCCTCAAGAACCTCAACAGTTGTCTCCAGCAGCTAAAGTATGAACTGTGTTCTGTGTTCTATCTCACTTGGTCTTTAAAAATAGATTGCATGTTTAACTTGGAAGAATCCTGTTGCCAGCCCTGCGTGCCCCGAAGAGGCTGGGCATGTCTGTGCTATGTGGGGTCACTCAGGCCCTCAGTCCCTGTCATACGGGAGGACTGCCTGGAGCTAGGTGACCCTTAGGAAACCCACACATAGCTCAAGGTTTTACTCCCAAGAGCCTGAGGCCAGTGTTTGCAGGACGTGGCCCTGTGGGGACATCTTTTTGACCCTGTGAATGGAGGCCATGTGTAGGCCCTCAGTGCTGTCTCACCCACCTTCTCCCTGAGCACAGGCCCGTGTGTGCAGACCTCTGCACCTGCAGAGGAAACTGCTGAGCCCCATAAATCGTGTGACCCCCCGGGTGCTGCTTCCCAAATAGACAGGTTCTGTCAGCCACCCGAAGGTGCCGCAGATGAGCAGGCTGCTGTCTGAGTCAGGCTTGTTAGGATCCGTGTTGGAGATGACCAGTTGCCTCTTGGGGAAGTAACAGCGTCGTTTCTGGCTCTCATTTGACTGGCCTGCATTCCTTGCTTCCCCTGTCTGCCCAGGCAGGAGATGGACAGCCTGCAGCGCCAGATGGAGGCACATGCCGTCACCGTGCACGAGTCACTGTCCTCATGGACTCAGGGGGATCCCGCTGCCAGTGCTGCTCCCCTGGGAGATCACGCCAACCCCAGGGGAGATACAGAGCGACACAGTCAGTGCAGGGTCTCCAGAGAGGCGCTTGGAACAGCGGCCGCCGAGCACCCCCACTCCGAGTGCTTGTAACTACCCAAAGGAATAATCTTTTATCAATATTATTTATTTGACTGTTTGCTCTGTGTTTTTCTAAGAGATGAAGTTTAAATTTTGCATCTGCCTTTTCAAGGAGTAAAAGAACTGAACAAGAGCCAAGGATTAGAGAAATAGTAATTTGCAGATCACAACTAGCTTTTCCCCTGAAATGACCAAATGCTAGCAACCTAGTTTAGATCTCAGTGAGTTTTTGAATGTGTCTGAAGGGTTACTTGCGGGAGGAGGTCTCTGTTGAGTGACTGTAGCTGCAGCCCCCTGAGGGTGATGCCAATCAGTGGCCACCGGTGGAAACGCTGCATGACTGGGTCCCGCTTCTCTCTTTCCAGATTCCGTGAGAGCTTTAGCTCCCTGCGGAAACGAAACTTTATTTGCACCTTTGGTTTTTATTTTCAATAGCTATCTCACCATAGGATGTGTATATAAATACTGAAAATCATAAGCTAATCTTTAAAAAGTGTATTCCATATTATTTAAGAATGACCTGAATTGTCTTTTTATTGATCGCCTTTTGAAAATCTGCTGTCAGGAAGTAACGTACATGTAGGATTTAGGGATGTCAGTCAGAAAATTATATTTTAAGAAATATAATTATTTTATTTACTGTACCTTCTAAAACCAAATATTCTTGGAGCGAAAAGGTTTTTTGTTTCAGTTTCACTTTATTTTTGAGAGCCTTGTCCTAAGTGCACACCCCACCCCATCTGACCCTTGACCCTGCACGGCCTCACTCACTTTGGCTGTCCCCTAGGCGGGCCTGGCGGCCATAAGGACACCAATCACCAATGTGCTGGCCTGACATGGGAGATGGTTGGGGAGGGGTCACAGGAGAGGAGGGGAGAGAGGGACCAGGGCTCCCTGCAGGGCTCTGAGCCAGGTGCAAGGCTTCTCCAGGCCTCCTCCCCCCGTCCCCCCCCCAACCCCGGGCCCACATGAAAATACGTCCATCAGAGCCTGTGTGGTCATCAGTGGTCATCAGGGGACATGCTGAACTCATTGCGGTGACAGCCTTCAGAAGGTCCCGTAACCTCTCATCTGGAGGGTTTTCTAGAACGGGCAGGTCAGCTGTGTGAGAAGGCAGTGGAGGCCACCCGAGCTCTCCTGTAGGTGAGAGCCTGATTTGGAAGCAGGCTCCGTGAGCGTGGGAGATTTACTTGACTGTCTATGACCCCGGAGGGCTGTAACTTTGTCCCCTATTGGCCAAGAAATCTAAGCTGATAGTGAACTGTTGTCAGAGAAGAGAGGCCCCTGGTGCAGATCTGCTGGTCTGGAGATGAAGTTGGAAGTGTTACTGATCAGGCCAGATATGCTCGTGTCAACTTACTACTTACATCTCTTTTGTGGAGAAAACGGTTTGATATTTTTAAGCTGTTTGTGTTCTCTTACGCTATTAGAAGGTAAATTGATAAGGTAGCATTAACCACAAAGATGCTTAGTGTTTAAAAAAAATTCCCTAGCAAGTATTGAAACTTCTGAAATACGTAGATCACTTGTACAGGGTTAATCTTGAAATAATACTTGAAGACTTCATTATAAATATATCCTATTTTCATCTTAAGTTGGAAATCGTTTTTGACAAAATTGTTTTTGTACCATTAGAAAAGAAAAATCGTAACTTACATTCTTATTTATTTTGGGTGTTTTATCCTCAGTTTTAATTTTAAAACCAAGACATGACACTCAGCCTCATGCTGTGGCTACTTTCTCACTGCTGCTTATTGGAGGTCTCCCAGTGAAAGCCGGTCACTGTGCATTTTTTATTAGGAAAGGGTAAACGGATTCTGAATAATCCTCAAGTGAAAGCAGATTTCTGTTCCTCACCCTGTTTCCCTCATGTCTTACTTGTGTCTGTGCACCTGCGGGCTTGTGCGGGCCTGCAGTAGCCGCGCCCCCTGCTCTCCTGCTGTCCTGTGCCACCGTCGTGGTCACCCCATCTTTCAGTTCCGTCAACACCAGCCTGCCTCTGGTCTGACCTCCCTGGCTGTCCCCACGCACTGTGATGTTTCTTGTGTGGCCTGCAGCTCCTGACCTGGGGCCCTTTTGTTCAAGCTGACACCACCTTTAGGCTTCTTAACAAGTCACTTGGAAGAGGAAGTTGGACTTTGAAATCACCTGCTTCTGATTTATTGAGGGTTATTATTATTTTTTTAATCTCTAAGGGACTTGATTGGCACTTCTACCTCCCAGGCTACATTCTGCAGTGAGTATCATTTGAAATATTCTGTTTGTGGGCAGAAGTGGGAATTTGGAATTTACTCATGGAAAACAACAGTCCAGTCGATTATTTATAGGAACAGGCTTGCTGTTACAGTATGTTTGTGTATATTATTCATCCTGTGTGATGAATACCGTATTTCTTGTTTCTCTTATGTTCCAAAAAAAAAGCTTATTGCAGTGTGGTTATCACTGATTTTTCCATGGAACACATTGGATAGATGCCACGGATCTTACGGATTTACATAGGTTTTGTTCTACTGTTTGGAAGGTCTAACAGGCAAGGGTTTGATAGGCTTTTTCTCTGGCCTGGGTCCAGGTCATGGGACAGACCTGCTAGGAAGATTCTCATTACACTCTTTCTTAGTTTGAAGACTTTTCTTGGTGTAGGGTTACTTACTGCAGAAGCCACGGCATATAGTCCTACTCCTATGAGTAACTTTTTAAATAGAAATGAAATGTCCTGTGTAAAGATTTCTAGTAGTGAAAGGGACCAGTATATCTGAAAGACAAATGTCCTGGAGCCTTCCTCAAGGACCCCTGTGACGTGTGAGACGTCCTGAGCCTTACGCAAACACGTTCCAGGCAAATCTGATTGTGTGGTGGTCTCAGGTTATAATAGGACCCTTGAAGGTAATGTTGTAGAGGGTCTAGAAAACTGGATGGCTTTAAGTTACTCATTTCTGTTAAAAATTTCCTCATGAAAGGGAGTCCTCAGGTTGGGGCTGTTAGGGAAAAGGTGTCACCATGCCCAACGAATTGTAACTTTAAAAAGCATGTTGATTTTTTATAAATTTAAGTGTGCTGGGGAATTCCTTAAATTTTGTGCAATAAACTATTTTTTGTTAAAGTTTTTCATATTTCATTGGGGGCCTTATTTTAATATATATAGTTTGCCGTATTTGGGAGTAAATTTAATCTTGGGTTGTTATAAACGGTTTAAATACTTGTCTTAAAAGAGCATTTTACTGTTCTGCTAAAAGATTCAGATGGGTGTGAAATCTAACTTGTGCTGCTTTTGACCATAGCAGAAGAATGGCAATGTGTTAGCCATGCCCTTCCCCGTAGCCCACGCTGCACCTGCTGCCACACGCAGGTGGGTATGAAGGAGAGGCGTTCTGCTGAGCAGACCGAGAGACAGGAGGGCAGGTGCCTTTTGGGCTGCGGGCATGTCCCCGAGCATGTCCCTGTACGGGGTGCTGCGTCCACCACTGGGCCCCACAGACTGTCACGGCTGACGACAGCTGGACCATTAATACTTCTCTGAGTCTCCCGTGTCGTGGCCCAGTTTCCCCTCTTCCATCCATACTCTATTTTCAGAAGAGTTAGCCAGACGTGGAAAGTCTTCCGTTAAGTGTTCTCATTAATGACCAGCATGATAAAACTGTATAGAAAAGAAGTCAACTGGTGATCACAGAATGTGGTTTTGTGGCAGGATTTATGCGTTACTTTCCTAGGACTCCGCTCTTATCAGCTTCCCTAAACAGGGGTCCGTTAACACATGCTGCACAGCCCAAGTGAAGATTGCTGACTGCTTCTTGTGTGGCCCTGACTCCCTGAAAGGGGGAGGATGCAATCTTTGTTTTCTCTGCAGTAATCAGGAAAGGAAGGGTCCTGTGTCCCTGAACTTTTTTCTTTTGCCTGTAAGGTTGCTAAACATTTGCAAGCACCAAACGAAGCATGCTGCACCCGCGGTGGTTGTACGGTGGGTGTTCAGGAGGGGCTGGGCACAGATCGGTGGAAGGTGCAGCGGGAATGTGTGCTGAGGGAAGGACCCAAGACTTACCACTGAGGGGGAGCCTGGTATTTAGAGATCACCAGGTCACTCAGAAATCTCCTACCTCGTGCAGATTATGTGGGAAATGCAAATAGGATTGTATGCTGCTACCGTCCGGTTTGATGGATAAACACAGGAGCGTTGGAAGAACCTCCAAGCCTTTCCTAGATGAGAAGGAATTCTCAGCAATCAGCAACTTCTAAAACCAGAAGCAGCATTTACTGGAATTCTGCTTGCCTTCATGCATGTTCTCACTCAGGACAACGAATGTTGCAGATTCTGGTAAAAAGTATACTTTGGCGATGTCTTTTCCTGGAAACAATGGGAGATTCTAAACTGTGTTGGTCTTCCCCCTTTTTTTTTTTTTTTTTTTTTTTTTACCTGTTTGGTGTGGGGGTGGGCCCTTCTCGCATCCCAGCTCAACTCCTGGAGCTTGAGATGGCCAAGGGCTCGGGAAACAGCGCCGTGACATCCCTTTGCAACAGCGTGCTTCCCGGCTAGGCTGGAAGTGTGTGGATCACGTCCCCATCTCGGCAGGAGGGCAGTGGCTCCGGGAAGCACCTGGAGGTTCTCATCCACACGGCCTGCAAACCGCAGGAGGAAATGGTCTGCGTGCTTTTCACATATAGTCTGGGTCCAAACTCCACAGAGGGGGGGACGGTAGCCAGCTTAAAGGTATCTCACAGGACACCTCATTTTGTTTGTGAGCTTTATTTTTTTTTAAAGATTTATTATTTTTAGGGGCGCCTGGGTGGCTCAGTTGGTTAAGCGACTGCCTTCAGCTCAGGTCATGATCCCTGGAGTCCCAGGATCAAGTCCCACATCGGGCTCCCTGCTCCACAGGGAGTCTGCTCCCTCTGACCCTGCCCCCTCTCATGCTCTCTCTCTCTCTCTCTCATTCTCTCAAATTGACAGAGAGCAAGAGCACAAGCAGGGGGAGGGGTAAAGGGAGAGGAGAAGCAGACTCCCTGCTGAGCAGGGAGCCTGATGTGGCGCTCGATCCCAGGACCCGGAGATCGTGACCTGAGCTGAAGGCAGACGCTTAACCGACTGAGCCACCCAGGTGTCCCAGAGATTTACTCATTTTAGAGAGAAAGCGGAGGGGACTGGGAGAGAGAATCCCAGGCAGACTGCCCACTGAGTGCGGAGCCTGATGACGACTCGGGGCTCCATCTCATGTCTCTGAGATCATGACCTGAGCCGAAATCAAGAGTCGGACGCTCAACTGACTGAGCCACCCAGGCGCCCATTTGTGAGCTTTAAATGTGCATTTGTAAAGACTTGATGGATATTTCAAAGTGATTTTCCTGGTACTTAAAACGTTGGTGTGTTGAAAGCTGACTGTCTCCTCTTCATCCAGAAAACAGCACTTTCCCTTGACTGGCCTCTCTGTGTTAGTGATAGGCCAGCCCTGCCCACAGCTCCTTCTGCCTGTTTGGTGCCCCCTCCTGTCTCCAAGTCAGCTGAGAGCCCGGCTCGGCTCTGGAGCCAACCCTGTACCAGCCTCCTCCACTCTTGTCTGCAGTGTACGTTTGCTTGAGTTCAGAGCACAGTGTGGCTATCACACCGTCTGCAGTCTGGCCCAAATCAACCCCTCCAGCTTCTTAGTCCATTCAACATTAAGAGTTCTGTGGTCAAGCACTGGGCTCTCCCCCAGTTACTCCTCCTCCGCTGGCTTCTGGCGGAGCCGGCAGGTGCATGCTCTGGGGCAGGAAGCTCAGCGCATTAGAGCCAGTGAAGTGTGTCCCGTCTGGGCCAGAGCCCTGACCGCGGGTCGCATAACCCCCACCATGGCGACAGCTTGATGGTGGCCATGTGGCAGCAGATAGGAGCAGGAAATAAACTTGGTTCTCTCAAGCCTCTGGAGACCTGGGGGAATTACTACGACATGCTCAGTTGGGGCTCAGGAGCGCCCCATGCCTTGCTGGGACTTCCGGCCTGCTTCCTATGCCTAGGGCCACCCCTGCCTCGCCTTCACGCACAAGACGTGTCTGAGTGCTTGTGGCTGTCACGCACGATACCAGAGATACGGCTCTCCAGAGGGAAGAAGCCTGGCTTGTGGCATCTGATGATTCCTAGGTGTGAATACCCTTCCTGGGCAGAGCGGAAGCTCCCGACATGATGTCTTTGGAGCTGGGAAGGGGTGTGGGCTTTCCCAGGAGACTCCAGCACATCGCTGACTGTCCCTGAGGGATGTGACCATGAGCAGAAAGCAGACCTAGCTCGACTCCTTCATAAAACCTTACCTAATCCCCAACCCACTGTGCTCCTTCCCCGTGTACATTTACATACAGGGAACTAAGCTTATGCCATAGAGTTATTTCTGGAGAGTCCCTTCTTTTCCTACTAGATTAGGGGGCATCAGGGGCTGGAGGACAGTACTGTGTATCCCACTCAGCAAGTGAGTTTCGTTGAAGAGATGAGCCTTAAAGTCAGTGACTTTGAAGAGATATGTAAAGAAGTACCAGTTGGGGGATTTTCTTCCTTGCTCACTTGGTGTAGAAATGGTGGCAGAACACTTCAAATAGAGCAGATTTATGAATTAGGGATAAATACCTTTATTGAAGACCTCTTAAAATTCAGAAAGATCGTGACAGCCTTGTGTGGAATAACCCTTTGCTAACCTGCACATGCAATTTCCAGGCTCCCCTGCCAGCCAGGCTTCCTTCTGGGCTCCGCTGTGCCCTCTGCGAACGGTCCCAGCTGCTTCCTGCTCTGACTGTCCCTTGTCACTCCCAGACTACCTGGCATGGGCTGCTTCCCTGGCTAGACCCCCACCACAAGTAACATCATGTGTGGCTGGACTGCCCATGCTTTCCCTTCACTTGTTGAAGGGTACTCATGACACGTGAAAACGAGACTTTCTCAGTCGTTGACAGATACCCGTCCCTGGCCCTCTCGTGATCTGAGATCAGAAATGGAGTTCGGGATTAGGATAGGAGTTAGACAAACTACAATTAAGAATTAGATCAAACCTGCTCCTGTCAGAGAAGACCATCAGTTCTAAGCTTAATTTCTGTTCATTCGTTGGAAATCCACTTCTACCTCAGTGGTACATTGTGGTCAGTAATAGGGTTGGCTTCTTAACGTTGGAACTGTTTTTCCTCATGATTATCCCACTCTTACTTCAAATGTAGTCTGCATTAGACAGTGGTGAGGAGGATCCCGCCGTCGTAGGATCCCTATTGGTCGCTGGAGTCCCAGAAGATCCCGTATCAACATTACTGGTTAGGCTGGTAAAGCTGCTTGAAGAGACCCCAAAGTTCAGTGGCTTAAATGAGGAAGTTTCTCTTTCATACAACAGCCCAAGCATAGAAACGGGACCAATTGGGGCAGTTTCGTGGTGCCGTCTATGTCTGGCATAATGTGTGACTTCCACCTGTGGCCTAGGACAGCGGCTCCAGGCCCCAACTTCCTATGTGCCTTTCCCACGCCCTTGCAAGGCATGTTCTGTGCCCTCATTGAAGGGTGCAGCTCGCCAGCTCCACAGACCACACTGTCTGTTGCCTCTCCGTAGTCCCTGGGCCACAGGATGTGGTTTTTCGCTAGGCAGCAGTATGTTTGTCATTAAAAAGTGGAGGATGGCTGCTGCTGGCCACAGCCTCTGCCCCAATCCACAATCTGGCTGGTCCTCTCCCAACTACTGGGATTCGTGATTACTATACCAAAATCCCTTATGATAGGGGAGGACCCTGCTACCTCATGAAGGCCCAGGCAGGTAACTTATGCCTCGTAAACTATGAAAACGGTCATAGCAGCTAACAGTTACCACGCCCTTACATAGGGCGGCTGTGTGGCAAGGACTGGCATGTTAATCCTCGCCTCTGAGACGGGTGATTATCATCCTCCATTTTACCACTGAGGAAAATGCAGCACAGGGCAACTAGGTAATTCATCCAAAGTTACCCAGCAGGGAGGGGGGCAGACAGGGTACCAGCCCAGGCAGTCTGGCCCAGAGCCGGGTGCTCTCATCCACGCAATGGCACACGTCTGTAAAAAGGTCAAGAGGCCCTGGGTGACTCCGTTGGTCGAGTGCTGGGCTCTTGATTTCAGCTCAGCTTATGATCTCAGGGTCGTGAGATCCAGCCCTGTGTGGTAGGCTTGGGATCCTCTCTCCCTCTGCCCCTACCCCCGACTCGTGTGCAATCTCTTAAATTAAAAATCTTAAAAAAAAAGATTGGGGAGCTGCTGGGGACAGATGTCTGTTTTCAGGATACTTAGTAAAGAAATGGCAAGATTTCATTCAAGCAAGGCACTCTTCCTTTTTAAATATACACAAAATTTACAGTTAACAAATACTTTTAGCGTCCAGTTTGGTGAGTTCTGGCAACCACCCACCAGTGTGTACCCAAGCAAGACATGGAGCGTTTCCTTCACAGTGACGGCTCTCGTGCCCCAGCTAGCCGCCCACTCGGAGGGAGCCTCTGCTCGGACTTCTATCGCCACGAGCCTTGGCTGTTCTTGGGACTCTTACAGATGGAATTGCACAGTACGCACTTTTGTGGGGAGGGGTCCTTGCGCTTAGTACGGTTCTCAGGTTCATCCCTGTTATTGCTGAATATCGTATGCACCAGAGGAACTTCAAAGGACAGCGCCCCGGCTGGGCGCGTCCTGCTGGGGACGTCGGCCTGCGTACCTGAGACTGCCCGGCCGGGCCGCGGGGCAGGAGCGTGCGCCCAACTTCGTGGGGAACGGCCTCGCTGTCCCCGGCGTGCGCAACTCCTCCCACCGCCGCAGCACCGCACGAGAAGGCCGTAACGACTGCACATTCCCACCAAAATTAACAGCCCTGCCGGGTGAAAAGCAGCGCTTCACTGTGGGTTTAATCTGCGTTTCACTCACCCTCCGATTTACGGACTCTTCTTTTGGGCCCAAAGCACTGTCAGCGCTACCCCGTTAAGTGTTCTCACCAAGAATGTCACATTTCTTCCGGGTTTTTATTTGTCCCATTTAAAAAACTGTGAGTTTCAGTAAGATTCACCCTTCTACGCCCACGTCTCAGTTCTGACAAGCACGTGGAGCGCTTCCCTCGGCCCCTGCAGTCCCCCAGTCGACCCCTCCCGGGCCCCTGCGCCAACCGCGAGGAATCCCGCAGCCGGACCCTGCCCACACAGCGCCGGCACAGCGGCTCGCACGCACTCCTACGGGAAGCCCTCCGCGCGCGCAGGGCTGCGGCCGGGGAGGCCGGCGGCGCGGCTACCGGGGAACGTCTCCCCCGAGCACACGCCGCAGCCGCCGGGTCTCCGGCTTGCTTAGGCAGAACCCTGTTCTACACCCGTGCGCCGCCAGGAACTCTGCTGTGTCCCAGCGAAGTCCGACCCTCCCGAGGACCTTGGCTGCGCCGACCCCGCGAGCAACCGTTCCCACTGGGGCCGGGCAGCGCCCGCTGAGCCCCGGGCCGCCCCCCGGACCTCCCCTATCTCCGGCCGGTTCCGGGAGCCCCCCTTTCGCAGCACGCCGCGGCCGTGGAGGCCGCCCGCCTCAGGACCCCGCGACTCGAGCTGCCCGCGCCACTGCCTGAAGGCGCGCTCGACCGCCCCGCGCCGTCAGGGGCTGGGGCCCCGGCCACGCTCCC